GAAGGAGAAAGAGAAGCGAGAGCAGAAGGAGAAAGACAGGAACAAGCAGGAAGAAGAGGAAAAGGCAAAGGAGTTGGCAAGGAAGAAACTAGAAGAGGCAGCAGAGGAGAACGAGAGGCAGTTGAAGAAGGAAGCAGAGAGGAAGAAGGCAGCAGCAGCAGCCCAGCAGGCAGAGGAGAACAAAAGGAAGATGGCAGCAGCAGACGCAGCAGCCAACAGAGCAATACAGGAAGAAAGGAAAAGGAAAATCAAGGAAGCAAGGAAGGCTGAGGAAGCAGAGGAACAGGAGGATACAACAATGCCAGAAGCAGCAACAGCAGAGGAAAAGCAAGCAGCAAAACTCGACAAGATGGAGAAGCTACATGAGCAGTTCGTACAGGAAAAGCAGCAGGACCGAGACATGATACAACAACTTCGCGAGGAGCTCAGGAGCAAAGGATCCGACACAGCAAGCACAAAGGAACAGGAAGAGGAAGACGAGGAAATGACAAACATAGGACGGCCGGATCGCCGGCATTTCATGCTAGGAAAGGGTGACCCGACAGTAGTCGGTGAAGGAAATCAATGTATGTTCGCCCAGTTTCCGTTCAACAACGAGTGGTACCAGTGGAATTGGCAGACAGGAACGCAGTTCTGGTACTACGACGATCCAAAGGACGACAGCAAAGGAGCGAAAGTGTGTCAGGACCAAGCAGACAAGGCAAGGAAGCAGAAGGAAGCAGGAGAAGCAGCCAAAGGAAAGAAGCCAGACAAAGGAGGAAAGAAAGGAGAAGGTAAGGAGACCAGCAGAAGCAGGCGAAGGAAAGCCAGGCAGCAGCGACGACCAGTGCGACGACCCCAACTACCAGTGAAGAGCAAGGACAGAGGAACAGCGTGAGACCGAGAAGGTCAGAGGAATGAACTGAGTCGGCAGTCCATTTTCAGTGACAGAAACACCATGCAAGGATGGTGTAACCGTTCGCACTTGTAGGAAATGTTGTTGCGTGGTAAACGATGATGATCCAAGTACGACCAGTTTGTCTTTGCTAATGTATAGGACACTTGTACAGTAGTAGCAACCTTGGAGAGGATTGCAAGTGGACTTTGAAGAGTTTGCGACCACAGGAAAGCGACACAGTGTGTTTTGGCAAGGCACGGCTTCGAAGCCAGCTAAGTCTGGTGACGACGCTCCCTAACTTCGAAGGCGGGGTGTTAAACATTACTGCCTAGTAGGAACACACAGTTTGCAGTGTACAGGAATGTACAATGCTGAGACGGGAACGTTTGTAACCCGTAAGGACCGGACACAACTCTGTGCCTGTGCCACTTAGGAAAAGTGTGGTGCGCTGTGTCGGAGCGGAAGTGTTTAGGAAAGCCCGTTCTTTGGCAGGCAGGCAGGCAGACAAACAGACAGACACAGACAGACCGACGGACGGACGGACGGACGGACGGACGGACAAACAATCAGACAGGCACGCACACGTGCAGTCACAAACAAATGCACGGTATATTGCACTTTGACTCTGAGTGTCTGAGTTCCGGTGACAGGATCGGAGAAATCATTTGCACCCTCGTGTTCCTCTTTGGGTACAACCTCCTGCAGCGACTCCAACATGAGTCCTCCTTCTCCTGGAACATCTTCAGTGGATGGGCCTGGTCCTCACGTGCATGCTCTGGAGTTGACTTGTGATTGTTATTTTGCATTGCAGAAATGCCATGGTCGCCGATGGCATGTGAGGACCAGACGATCCTACTGGTGGTAGGAAGTCATGTCCTCGACACCTGGATCACTGCTTTGATGGTGCGCCGGCGAGTTTATCAAATTGCATCGTGTTTTCTGAGCTTTTCCATGGGGGTGACCTGCTTCGTTGTAACCAGCAATCAAGCCGACTAGAAAAGTCTGCCGCTTGATGGAAATTTCAGAAAAAACAATCGTTGAGGCTAGACGGATGCTTCCTTTTTAGCCGTAGGCCAGTGCGAACCTTCATCAGAGCTTAATCTGTGTGGAGAGCTGCAAGAGTTGAGAGACATTGACAGCTTTGCAGGTGAAGCGGTTGTCTTCGGTCCACAAGTATGTCGTGAAATGCTTTACTATGGTGGTGCCTGGCTCATCGCTTGATGCGCACTGCTGCCACTTCTTGTTTTTCTTGAATTGTTGTACCTCTTATGTCTCAGGCAACGATTCCTGGTTTCCTTGTTTCGTTCCTTATGCTGTTGCTTGTACTTGTGCATCACTTGGACTATTCCCATGTTGCAGAGGTCCTCTTCGGCATCACATGGTACCGTGGGAAACGATCCTGGACGTTGGCAGAGGCACTGCAGCCACCGGAGACATACCGTAATACTATTTTTCCAGCATTGATTTGCACAATGCCAGCTTAGCCCTGTAAGAGCAAGTTGCAAGTGCCCAGGTGCTGGTAGCTGTGATGATCGTTTTGCTGACGCTGCAGTTCGCCGCCTTGTCGCACGAGGAGAGGTCATCGCAGAAACCACATAGTGCACCGGTTCGAAGACACCGCAGTCTAAGATGCTGAGGTCTTAGACTGATAAGCGAGCCGATTTGGAGCAAGTATCAGCAATGAGGCATCAATTCAAAGGCCGGCTGGATTTTTTTTGACATCCTCAGCGTGGACACCGGACTAACGACCAGTCAAGCCCCGCATCCCAAATGCTGAGTGATATCTGAATGATGCCGAATGCGTGGTTCATGCTCATGCGAATGCTCCAGGACAAGAAAAACGCAGCCTGGCGAAGTGATACCGCGCCGTGAAAACGCCATCGCGTGTCGCGTTCGTGCTGTCAGGCTTTTGAGGCGTTCACAGCTGTTAGGTGGCGCACTGAAAGCCAGCTCGGGGACACCAATGTGTGAGCTCACCCCTGCAAAGCTCGAAACTTGAGACTTCCAACAGCTTGGCTCGAGCTCCGTCTAGGAACGGAGCAGTCGATGTTCCGAGCCTGATGAGACGCTGAGGCCTCCTGTACACGTGTCTGGTTGGCACAACTAGGACCGAGGAGGGTGCGATAGGTCCAAGCATAGCCTAGGGCCTAAGGTGGAGTGACCACGGCATTGCCATGCATTGCCATTGTGCGGATATGTAGGGATGTTGACTGCTCTGGTCTTCCTTCCATCCTTACCGGTTGAGACCGGCCATCCGCCGATTGAATCCCTGATCATGGAAGCCACAGAGGCAGGTAGAGGCAGAGCCCTTTCGTCCAGGCCACTTCCCGGGATGTGGACTCTGAATGTAGCTATCCTTGGCTTCTTGCACCTTGGTGTGGCCTTGGGCAACAAGCCCCCCGGCATGGCGAGAGCCTTCGCAGGGAGGAAGCCCGTCTTTGTCTTTGTGTCTTTCCGTTTCCAAGGCTATGGACGACGAACCTTCGGCAGATGGCCTTTGCCACTGGCTCCAGGCTCAGGCTGCCTCTGGGCAACCTGACGCTGCAGCTGAAGGCCGCAGCTCGTCGCCATTCGTTTCAGGCTTCAGGCGCATCACAGTGACATTTGTGGCGATTCTCGGGTTGGGGACCGTTTCGCCCTGGATCAAACTGCCTCTCCGAGGAATCCTTCGTCAATTCTAGCACCGATGTTGGCGAGATCGGTGGCATCCGGCTGATGACAGCTCGTGGGGTCTGCCCGATCCTCATGCATGGTGTAAAGGGGATTAAACTCCACTTCCCGCATGTGGGAAGTGCGGGCTTCTGAGGGGAGGAAAGCTCGCTGGCTTCTCCAAGTAGCATTTCATACAGTATCGGTTAACCATGCGGGCGAAAGTGTTTGTAGCAGTCGAATGATTCTTTACCGCTCACTGTCACGAAGTACTGTTGGTACACTACGAGTTTGTCACAGAGATGATTGGCAGATTCTCCTCGTTAGATGCCAAGGCATCAGCTGCACCACACCCTTGAGATGCTCGTCACTCGATGAGCCAGTGAAGGTCCGGCCATGCTATGCCATGCTGCTATCCGAATAACAGGTTGAGGCCTGTGGTGCAGGATGTGAAAATCGCTTCTGGCGCTTTGCAGGGGATGAGCGTGGCGAAAGCTTGCAACCCGCAGCCCAAGCCGGGCGACATGTTTAGCACGGTGCTCAAAATGCTTATCTATGCCACCCTGGCTTCCTTTGAAGCGAAAGCGGTGCAAAGGCTGGAAAGTGGACCAAACATCCGGCTATGACATTCGGCTTCTTGGACAATTAGCAACAGCACTGTTGAGCGTCTGCACAAGTCGGCTAGCTGTGCCATGGCTTAGGGTGGACTTTCCGTTGGAGAAGCTCAATGGCCAACTGGACTTCGTCGTGGAGATCCTGTCTGCATTGGACCTTTCAGGCCATTCCTGCAGTGTCTGTGCGTGGTCTCGTCATGCATCCACCGCAGGAGCCAACAACGAGCTGAAGAAAGGTCGGCAGGTGACGAATTGGATCACAACTTTGACTATCGGAACAGAGGATCATGCAGCCTGGATGAAGGTTGTCGGAGCCTGAGGAGATTCTTAGGTTCGTCTCCAAATCAGAAGCATCAAGGTCCAAGTGTCGTCACTTGCCACGCTGAGCCTGCGAGCCCCACTCACATCCCCACATACTTGCACCCCACGTGGCCTAATCCTGGGTTTTGTCAACTAGCAGACATCACAGCGTCGGTCCAGGCGGTGAACATGAACGGCGACTTCAAGAAGGTCGTAGTTGGACGGCAAGCTGCTGAGTTTTCGGCCTCGGCGAAGGTGCGCAGAGGGGAAGTTGTGAGTCAAGTGGGTGCGAATGCACGCACCGGACACCAGCCAATACGTTTAGGAATGTTTAGGGTTTAGGCTTCTCGCCTGGGGTTGGGGCTTTGGCTTAGGGCCTTAGAGTTGGTTTCGGGTTAAGGGCATACGGTTGGTTATCAGTACTAGGAATCAGGGTTTGATGGTGCCTTGGGTTTATGAATTGTCTTTCGGTTAGCGTTCACGGTTTCGGGTTTCGATCTTACGCTTTGAGCCGGCGGCTTTAGGATTTCGGCCGCGGTTGGGTTTAGAGTACCTTCCGGGCTAAGGGTTCTAGGGCTTGGTTCAACTTGCTTTAGGTTTCGGGTTCAGGGCATACGATTTGGGGCTTTCGCGATCAGGGTTTCTGCAACACAATTAGTGTGTCTAGGGTTTAGGCCGGCGGTTTTAGGCTTCAGGCCTAGTCGATCTTTTGCAGTGCATACGCATGCATATATATATATATATATATGTAAATCAGCCCTCCTGTGCAGACTGTTGCTTGACCTTTGCCTGGAACTGGCTGCCATTTCGGCCCATAGGGGCCCCTTGAAGCTAAAGCTACTTTGTCAAAGGCGAGAGAAAAGTGAGCCATTGCGCGATCGTTTTGCACTCCGTCGAAGGTGCGGCCGGGTGAAGATTTACTTGCAGCCAGTCTGGGCCACGAGCTGAAGGCAAGGATCACAATCTGGCTGGCCGGTGACTACTCGAAGGACGACGTACGGTCGCCAACCTCAGGAGGCTCGAGCCAGTCACCACGACGGGTCTTCCTCAACGAGTCGGAGCAGCCCGACCCTTCGCGATACCCGCCTCGGTCGCAAAATTTCGGAGATGGAGGCAAGGGGGCGGGAAGTTTGGACGGCCAACTGGTGGCAAGCCATTCGGGCAAATTGCAAGAAGGGCAGCCAGGCGTGCGCACATTGAACAGCTCAAGTTGAGGACGAGATGCAGGGCCTGCGGCCAAGTGGGACACTGGTCGAAGGAGTGCAGGAACGTGCCGCAGCATAGCACAGCGAGCCTACTGGTCAGGCCCCGTGGAGACGGAGCAGTCTTCTTGACCTTCTGACAGGCCCGGGCGATCTGCGAAAACAAGTGCCAGCTGAAGCCGGCTGCAGAGCTTGGAGTCACCACGGCTGAGCACCAGGCTTTGGTGAGGAGCACGCTTGTGTGCGCATTGACAAGTGACTAGATTTGTGCATCACAGCAGTCGTTGGAGCGTTCGGGTTTTCCGGGCAATTCGAACGCGGAGGATATCTTCCTATAGACTCTTTGCTGAACGTGCTCAACTGTTCAGAGGAAGAATTCCACGCCGCGGTCAGGCTTGACGCGGCCGGCCATAAGCCCGTATTGATACGGGCAGAGCGGGATATCTCCGCGCCCACCAGGGGCTAGCAGAGATTGCGGGCACCCGCTAGAGTTTATGACTCCGCCTTTGTGCCCTGAGGCCGTCGCGGAGCTTCAACGCTCGCACGGCAGGTTCGTGTACCATGGCACGGACGTCCACCTCGTTTGTCAGCATTCCTTGACGCAGTGGCACGTTTCTCTGCAGATGGATGGCAGTTCGCAGGGAGAGAATGACGATCCTTGCGAGTTGAACATCTTGCCGTTCTTCAGCTGCGATGCTGGCGAGTTCTTGGTGTCAGGACCGCGCTTTAGGTTGCTTCCTGTTGCCTCGACGGTGACGTAGATTCTTGCGGAGTTAGGTCGGTGTTATCAGAAGGGATATTGCTGCGAGCGATTAAGCATTTGCATCGAGCCGTTTACGCGGCTCGAGATGGCTGCGGCTTTGTGGACCGTTTCGAGAGACAGGGGCCTACAGGAGTTGGCCCCAATCCTTTGTCAGGCTGGCGTTTTGTCGCTGGACGGGCTTCAAGGGAAGGAGTCGGTACTTCTCGCAGCGGGAGTCTCGAAGCAGCAGTTCCAGTTGCTGACGCAACAGAAGGCCCAGGAGGCAGCTGAAACAGTCCCGGCGCCAACAAGGCGAGTTGATTTGCCTGAGTTTACGGCTAGAAAGCGAGCGAGCTTTCAAGAATCTATTGATGCCGCAGCTCCAGAGAATAGGACTGCAAGCGTGAGGCGATTGCAGGAGGACTTTGTGGCGCCATCAAGTTCGGGGCCCTTGAATAGCCGCATCAGGACGTGGTGTGAATGGTGCGCAGCTTGGAACGTGGCTCCTTTTCCTTTGGATGTTCAGAATCTCAGTTCTTGTGCCGCCAGCACAGCATGAAGGGCGGTGGCTACCGGTCGTGTGCGCAGTACTTTAGCGCTGCGGTTAATCATCAGGAGAGGACCTTGCGTCTTCAGGTTGATTCGCTACTCAACGCGCTCATTCGAAATTGCAAGCGTAGCATACTTCGGGGCTTGGGACCAGACCGATTGAAGGATTCATTCGAAGTGGCCAATCTCGAGCCACTGCTTCAGTCCTCCAATTGGGGACAGCTCCTGGGACAGCTCCTTGGGATCCAGATGACGTGAGCTGTATCGTCGACGCCGTCGTTCTTTGCCTGTGTTTTATGCTCAGGGAAGTCGAATTTGCTGCGCTGCGCAGGGGTCATCTGTACTTTTTGAGGATGGCATGTTTTTTTGTTGATAGCAGCGCAGAAGAATGACAGCCAGGAATCTCTTGCAACGCGGAGCTTGTCGTTTTGTTGTATCCTTAGGAGGCATCCTTTCTGCCCGTTCCATTGCGCCCGGCGTCACCTTCAGGGATTGCAGCAGTTTGAGGCGCAACTGGGGCGGCAGGCGACGCTCGCCTTCCCCGATCGAGCTGGGAGTGAGTTATGAGTTGACCAAGGCCTCCCTGGCGCGGGGCTTTAGGTTTGTTTTTCAGGCAGCCGGGATAGAGATGAGATGGAGCGACCCACCCAGAGTTTTCATGGTGATTGTTGTCGTGTCTCGGGGGCTCAGTGGGCCATTTCATTGCACATCGCTCTACACTCGGTGCAGCGACTAGGGCATGGGTCTTCGGCTTCCATTTGGAAGCAGAGCACATTCAGTCCAGGGGAACAGGAACAGGCGGCCGTCGGAACCGCGACAGTGGAAGAGAGTTCTTTGCAGGCCACAGCCAGCTTAGTGCGTGTTCGTCGATTTCAGCAGAAGTCGGGGCACTTCAAGCAGAGATTGAAGTGCTCAGTGCTCAGGAAGGCCATCGGGCCTCGAGGCGAGACTCTGATTCAGTCCGTTCGATCCCGGCTGGTTCACAAGATAACAAAACTTTAACGCATACCAAACCCCGTTTTCCCTTTGTTTAACTGGTGTAGCGCTGAAGCAGCGCACGACCGCGGGACCAGGCTCAAAGTGTGTGTGTGTGTGTGTGTGTATGAAAAGTTGCGTTGCTCTGTTATGGTAGCGGAGCTTGCGAAGGTGCAAGTTCGTAGTGATAGTGGGTTAGCGTGTGCCTAAGAGCCCTCGCTGATCCTGAGCCCTGGCTTGTGCCAGCATAGTCCAGGGGACTTCCTCCGCGTGTCGTGTTCTCGAGTGCTCGCGCGCTGTAGAGGCGGCCAGTGCTTCTACTTGAGGTACCTCTTCGTGGTGTTGGCTTAGAGCTTGAGCCTTGGGCCTTCCTTGAAAGATGGCTACTCAGAGTGGAGATGGAGTGCAGCCTCCGCAAGCAGCTGGTGACAATGGTGGTGAAAGCCCAGGAGCTGCTTCGGTAGCAGCTGCAGCTTCAGCTGCGGCGCCAGTGACTGCAGAAGTGGTTCTAGGCGGCTGGCTGAGGCAGTTGCTCAGTTGGCTTCGGCTTCAGGTGGAGCCTCCGGAAGCGGAGGCCAGTGGAAAGAAAGCAAGTGGGTTAAGAGCCCGGATATCTTTAATGCCGAGTCGCTGGATGAAGAAGTCTCTGCCTGGCCGGATTGGAGTTTCAGCTTCAGAAGTTTTATGGCAGTGCAGGATGATGCGTATCGAGCAGACTTTGAGAACCATGTGGCTTGCTTTTGAACACTACAGTCCAGATTTGAGAGCTCGCTCGTTGAGATTGTATTCGGTGTTGGCTTCTTATTTGAGGGGTCGTTCTTTGAAGATATTGCGGTCAGTGACCAACGGCGATGGATTCAGTTTCTGGAGACAGCTCACAGAGGAGCTGCAGCCCTCTACACGTCCGAGGTCGTTGGCGCTGGCACAGGCCCTCACAAAATTTCCACCTCTTCGTGACCATGGCTCTGTATTGGAGCACACACTCACGTTCGAAAAATTTGTCTCTGAATATGAGAGGGCCTCCTCCCAGGTATATCCAGATGATCTGAGAATCGGGACTCTTCTCAGCGGGCTGCCACAAGATGTGAAACGATATCTGCAACTGCAGATAGATGACTCTACAACGTATCAGAAGCTGCGGGGGATCCTGTTACAGTTTGAGCGCACGTCAACAACAGAATACGTCATGAAGTCCATAGGCCTTGATAGAAATGCTTATCCAGGAGATGGAAGTGGCCTATCTCCCATGGATGTGGATCGCATCGAGAAGGGCAAAGGCAAGGAGAAAGAGTCCAAGGGCAAAGGCAAAGGCGACAAGGGTGGCAAAGGTTCCAAAGGGTACCAAGGGCTACTACCAAGACGGCAAGGGCAAGCATGGCAAGGGTTACTTCTCCGATGGCTTCGGACAGGGTCATCAAGATCAAGGCAAAGGAAAAGGCAAGTGGTCTCAGGATGGTGGCAAGAGAGGGAAGAAAGGTGGTTTTGTGAAAGGTACTTGCTTCACCTGTGGGCGTGTGGGTCACCGAGCAGCTGAGTGCAGAGATCGTCGTGTGAATCAAGTAGAAGAAGATGCAGCATCAGTGAGCACTAGGGCTTCTTCCTCGACTACCCGAACAACCTCAACAGCAACAACAGCCCCAACCTCAACCCCAGCCAAGGCGAATCGATTGGAGCTTGGCACCATGCCGTTGATCGAGGAGCTCCCGGATGACTTCGACGCGTCCGTTGGAGCTTGGCAGGGCAATGAGTTTCTTTCGGAGTTTGATCTTTATGACGGCACCGAAGAC